GACAATCTTATAAACGCTCTTGCTCCAATAAATAAGGATTTTTTCTATTCGGGGTTTTCTACTAGGCTTGCTCTTGGGTGGTTTTGTGGGAAAGGTCATCTTCCGCAACTTCCAATCTATCGATGGGTTATGCTTTTTTAACCAGGAAAGATCAAGAATAACAGGATTTGATGGGATTCTAATAATATTGAAAATAATATGACTACTATGGTCCTTAAACATCACTTCTATAGGTTCTGATTCATGGATGACACTACCAGACAATAAAGGTTGTCCATCTATGACCTCAACGTGGACAGGTTTGGATTTTTGTATTAAAGGGATCTTATGACGCTTTGCAAATTCTTTGTCTAAGAAACAAGCAGATGCTCCTGAATCTAATAATGCTAAGGTTCTCAGTTTCTGAGGGCCAATAAGCAAAGGGATTGTAAAACAAAGGGCAGGTTGAGCGGAAAGAAAGGAACCTAGATGTTGTTGCGATATTTCACTGTCCAGCCGCACGGTTCCTATTGTGGCTGGGCATCCTCGTTTTCCTGAATAAATGCACCCCTAGTCTTGATAATACGTCGATTTTGCTTCTTGAGACAGTTTCCAACTTTGTGGCCTTCTTCACGGCATTACAAGCATAGACCTTCCTCCATACGTCGCTTTTTTTCTTCTAGAGTAAGGGATTTGATACATACCGCATCAATTTGTATGTTTTCTACCTCTGAATGTGAATTCATGCTGCTTGTCGACATAATTGGGATGTGGTGAACCGTATGTTGTCTTGAACGTTGGTCTTGGCGACGTTGGAATAGGTGATTATCGCACTTCACAGCTTGGCTAATAGCTTCATTGAGCGTTTACGAATCAAGAAGAGTTAACAGCAAATCTTTCACATCGTCCCTTAAATCCCAATAGAATTGACTCATCAACGCTTCTTCATCCCAATTGATGTCGCATGCTAATTCCCTGAAGTCCGATGCATAGACTGATGTAGAACACATCCCTTGTTGTAGTGACCGGATCTTTGTTGTAGCCCATCGAACCTTATCGTGTTCACCAAATGCTTTCGCAAATGCCTCCAAAAAGGTTTCAAATTTGTTTAGTATGGACGATCGTTTCTCGAACAAAGGATCAAACCATGATAGAGCTTGTCATGTAAGTAAGGTTCCAACAAGCCCAACACGTGACTCCTCCATTGGATAGCGTTCGGGCTGTAAAACTGTTATCAACCTGATTTGGTTGACGAATCTTTGAAACTTGGAACGTGTACCATCGAACTTGTCCGGAAGGCTAACTCGTGGTTCCTTATGTTGTAGAACCAGCGGTGCTTGTCGAACTTGAGGTAAAGCTGCTTCTCCAAGTGTAGAAGTTTGAGTCTGGTGCAACCTAGATTGTGCCATCCTAGATGCTCCATCATTATGAAGCCTTGCCACGACTCCTTCAAACTCTGCAGTTCTTTGCGATAACGTAGCGAGGGCATTCATAATAGCATCTAATTTGGACTCTGAACTTTCCGTCATACTAATGTCTTGGCCCCCAACCATTCTAAGAGAAGGACAGAAATGACTCTACAAGAAGACAATATTGGTTTAGAGGAGGGTACTCCGCAACCTCTAAAATGCCTTAAGAGCTTCAAGAAAAGGGGTAATCCACTCTCTCCAAGAAGAATAAGACTCCAATATTGTAACAAAAGAAGTATCAGTTTAGAGGAGGGTAATGCGCAACCTCTAAAGTGCTAGTACACTTCCAAGCAGAGGGGTAATCCACACTCTAACAAAGAAGAAACTAGCTCTGATATCTGAGATGAGTGAAATCTCGACAAACTGTCATGGACACAGAATACAGACTTGATATCTACCAAGAAGTTCAAGAGGAACTGGCAAGAACTAGATGAATCAGATGAATACAAGAACAACACCAAAGAGATGAGCTAGGACTCCAAGAGATGTGTTGTCGAGACTGAAGAACTCTTCAGCCTCGATTCCAATATATACTCCTATTTAGGAAGCTTCTCAAGCAACTTCTACCAACTAAGAAGCTTCTAGAAGGTTCCAGAGACTTGTTTCTAGAAGATTCTAGAAACTTATCTCTAGAAGGTTCTAAGGACTATGTCCCTAATATCTTCTACCAACTAAGAAGCTTTTAGAAGGTTCCAGAGACTTTCTTCTAGAAGGTTCTAGAAGCTTGTCTCTAGAAGGTTCTAGAAACTTGTCTCTAGAAGGTTCTAAGGACTATGTCTCTAACAACATGCTTATTTTTATGTAGCACAAATTATATTGAACTTCTAGTTTTCTTTACTAAGACAACTTAGCCTAGTCAACAAATCTTGTATAAAAGTAATTGTTAATTTAAGTTTTGAGTTCTTAAGTTTTGTATAATTGAGTGGCCATATATTAAAAAATTCTTATCCTTTCACTTTATGACTCTAAAATTGCACATTTTCAAAACCAATAAAAACCATATATCAAAACTTAGTTTGCTTAGTCATACAAAACTTACTAAATAATGTGCAATATTTTATGTAGATGGAGCACATTTACTAAAAACATTAATCTTTTTAATTTTTTCTATAAAATAGATGTAACTAATGGAAAGATTAAATAATAAAATATTGAATATGTAATATTAGTGGTGTTGTAATTTAATACCAATAACTTTTCTATTTGATGAATGAAATTAAAGCTACAACTCACCAAAAAAAGAATAGATATTGCATTTCAATGGTATTGGCTCTAAGAAAAAAAGAATCTTTTCAGATGAATTCTCACTCTTTATTGTTGTGTAATGTTAGTTCACAACCTGTAATTGACCTTGCAAATAGCAACTACCTTTTAAGTATGGCAACAAAAAAGTCTTGAATTGCCATTATAACATCAGTTGATATTTTTTATTTCTAAATATTTGGAGCATTAAAATAACTACAAATAGATCTCTGGAACCACAACCATCAATTAGGAGTGTAAATATTTTCCAAACACAAATGTTGAACTACTCATTCCATAATCTATTTCAAGCCAAGCTTCATTAATTAGGTTTCTATCTGAGAAGAACTTCAGATGTGGCTTTATTTATGCTTCTTAAATTCTCAATATGGATATGAGTATTTTTGAGGTTGTTTCCTTAATTGTAGTTTGTGGGTGGGAATTTCAATAGTTTTGGTATTGCGTCAATGAAGCAAATTAATAAAAACTTTGGTATAAGCATGCTTATGTATTTTTGGAGTAAGAGTAATGTTTGTTATTCGAAAGATGATGCTAGAAGTATGTTTGGTAATTGTGCAAAAAGTGTGGACATACAACAACAATTGTCCTAGAAGTTGTAAAAAATCAACCTTATATTACCATCTTTCAAATATTCTTAGATCTTAAATACTATCAAGGCTTCATGTGCCATAATGGTTACTTTCTACATTGATATGAATTGGAGTTTTATATGATACAATTTAGGCAATTCAACTCAACGGAATCATAGGATTGTAGTATAAAACTAGACATGGAAGATTGTAAGTAGCATTGACCAACTTATTTGTGCACGTCATAGTTATTAAAGAAGCCAATTTATGCAATAGACAATGGATTGGAGGAAAATTTGATCAAGTCCATGTTTGTTGTACATTAACTTTGGTGTATCTTGATTCCTAGAGAATTATTATTTCAATTGCAAATTGTTCAAAGAGTTGTATACATGTATAAGTGTTGTATGAGTGTTTCTAATTGTATGCTTAGTGGAGAGCACAAATTTTGCATTGGTGGAGACCAAGCTTCTTTGATTATATCCTTTTGATTTTGCACCTCATTCTAAAACCTAAACCCTAAAGTTCATTGACAATAGAGAATTTCATTGATAATAATGTTAGCATTAATATTGTTTGTATCTTTTTTCAATTGTGGTATTAAGATATCCCAAAAGTTTGTAAAATATTTTGAAAAGAAACCATCTTTAATTTTACTTGGCCATATATACAATTATATATATATATATATATATATATATATATATATATATTACAAAGCTACATAATTATAAGATGGTTTAGTAAAATGTATAGTTAGATGATCACATATATTGAAGCTATAGGTGCTTCAACATGACGAGTTTATTTATATTTCTATAAATGTTGTTTAGCATTGCTTTTAGAATGCCACACATATCAAAAGACATGTTTAATATTCCATAGTTCATATTTCATGTCTTATGGTTGATACCATCAAAAAAAGTTTTTTGCATCAAAAAATGACTTGCTTTACCAATTCTATGGTACTATAAAATATATAAAGAGCCTTGAAATCACTACAAAAAAAAAAATAGAGAGCACTACAAGGAGAAAAATGATATCAAAGAAGTGTATAGCTAATCAAGGAATAAAAAATTGGACTTCATCAAGCTGTAAACTAGATCATTACGACTAACTTTAAATCATGAAATGATGACGTAGGATGGATTTAAAAAGAAGGAATAATTCTAAATTACACTGCAATCCATGAACCGAAATGGAGAATTTTCGATGCTTCTGTGTTTACATACAAAATCAAGTTGTTTGTAAGGGCTACAAGGCAAATCAATTCAAACCTTTCAAGGAAAAGGTTACGATTGATTGCTGATTGGATATGATAAATGGAAAACTCAAAAATCATCGTTTATGGTTACGGCACAAAATTGAACGATTTGGATGATTGGCTAATACATGTGATTGAGCAACGAAATTGATTATATTCTTCCAACGAGCATCAACAGAATGCCACAAGGCGGCAATATATTATTCTCCCTCACGTAATCATAACCCATAAGAGGAAAAAAAACTGAAGAAAAAATAACATACAAGTGAAAATGATGGGCAGGATGCAGTGGCAGTTGAAGATTCTTGTTATTCAATCAAATAGACATGTCAGCAAATAATCACACAATCATGGTTGATACCATAAAATTAGAGGATCGTCTAAATCTGCTGAAGACTCTGAGGGCATCCATGTTCCTTCGTCACAATCTTTTGAAAATGATGACCAATTCCAGTCTGGAACAAAGTGGCGTCGCCTTCAATAGACATAAAATCCTTACTACACGAGGAAAAGGATAGGCAAATTGATCAGTGTAATAAATGAAGGGTGTATCTTCCCTCTTACAGCACACGCACAAATTCATTTAGAACATACTATCTGTTAGGAGATGCTGTCAAGCCCTAAGAACTCTACAGCACTCGTGAACTAATGGTTCTTATACACGAGCTGAAAACTAAAACAACACGGGAAGCTATAAGATACAATAATTAATTGAAGTTCATGTACATGATTTGAAGAGAAACTCAGGATCACAGACCTCCAGACCACCGTAGTTACAGAGACCAGAAGTTCATTAACGCTACTCTAAAAGCGTATGCTTAATTTCCACCTTGAACCAGCTGATATTACATTTGAACAAATGAAAGGGATACTTTCGAGGTAAGAAAATGATACATCCCATTAATGTTGACAACCTCCATAGCTACCGCCGCTTTGCCTGTTTCAGAGCCTCAAACCGTGCAACCAAATCATCCTCAGATTCAATTACCTTCGGAGATGGATCCCTGTCGAAAACTCCTCCAGTACTTGGGAAGTCCATCCCTGATTCATCATACTTTTGTGTACTTGAGAAGAGTGAAGCATGATCCTCATCATAGTCGTAGTGAGGTTTCTGAGGTAAACTTCCAAAACGAGAGGGCTGATGAGCTCTACCAACTGATCCTTCTTCGTCGAACAATGGAGAACTATCTCGGCTAAACTTTAAATTGTCTGATTTTCCAGCAGAAGGTCGATCATATGATGAGTATGTTTCTTCCCGCCTTGATGAATACTGATCCGTACCATAATTGCCATCGACGTGATCACTTGAGTCAAAAGCACTGTATCGAAGTGTAGATTTGTCCCTGTTGACATCAAATATATCATACCGATCCAAATCCTCCGCAGATTCCTGTTTAGGTTCCTCCTTGGAGATCCATTTAAGGCCCCCTCTTTTATATTTAGATGAGCTGCTACCATCGAAAATCTGCCTACGGGATCTTGGGGATTCAGTATTTTCATCTGCACTTCCATCATCATCAGCATCATCATCATAAAATACTGGCTTGCGGTTCGCATCTATTTTCTGAAAATCCAGTTTGGTTTCCCTTGATGGAAGCTTCTGCTCTGTAAATACTTCAGGTGCTTCACTGCGCTCATACGCAGCATTAAATCTCTGATTCGTTCCAGCAGCTCCCCTGCCATAAGGCACATCGTACTCTGCCGTATCGCTCTCACCATCACTATCACTATATCCTGCTGGTGCTCGCTTCGTCTCTTGGACATGTCTTCCTCGCCGGACAGGTGGTTCTACAGGAATATTTCGTTCGTCTTCTTCGTCACTGTCCAAATCTGTAACACTGTCCTCATCCTCAGCTGCAGCACGTGAGTCCTGCATTCCAGTACTGATAGGTACCTTAGAGTCGTGAATACCTTGAGTTTTGGCCAGCTCAGCTGCGGCTCGCGCTGCTGCCACTGCACGGTTGGCGGACTCGGCAGCAGCCTTTGCCGCGGAAGCAACATCCGAGTAGTCTCCTTGTCCTTCCCTAACTGTATCGACATTTCTGTCCTCTTTGGTAACGGGTCGCACACCCGAATGAATGTCCCGCTTGGGAGTATGTAACATCTGCTCAACTTTCCTACCACCAGACTCAACATTCCGCGGAGGAGACAACGATGAAGGCGGTTCATTCTTAGTTGGTGAAGAGATTTTCTTCACCGGGACGCGAAGCTGCCCTTCGTCCTCAGATGAAGATGCAGTTGAAGATAATCCAACCAAGTTTGAAGGCATCTGGGACATAGTTATGGTGGGAACTTCTGTAGAATCATCGGGTGTCGCGTTTATTCGTGAATCATCCAATTGAGGAGACAGTAGGTCGCTGGCTGCAACGAAATGATTTGGTCCATCCTGTATGTTAAACAATTCGTTTAGCTTGGGTAAGAGAAAAAGGGAAGACATTCAATCTTAACATTGAACCTACATATCGCAGCGGCCTAACCATGGATACTCATACAGATCATGGTTGAAAAAACTTGAATGAGGTTCGAGGCTTTACAAGCAAATCTTCAGGAGCCTTCAATAGTTCTTCTTCGGTAGCAGTAGGATCCCAGTCCACATCATGCTCCGCAGCGATCTCTTTCATCAACTTTAATTTCAACTCTCCAGAAGGAGCCCGTACTGAAAGTTTCTCAATTATCTGCTCATTCCAGTATAGCAAACAAACATGCAGACAAATGTGTCAGCATCCGAATGTACGAAACTGAGCGTGATCATTGAAGGGTCAATTCCGGCAAATGTAAACTCCCATACAGTCAAATTTCTGATAAATCAGACAAAAAAACCTACATACACGCACAACTAACTAACTAACTAACTATAAATATATATAAAAGTAGAATAATGAATGGTATATTGGCAATCAAGCAATCCTAAGAAATTAGTTCGTGGTGCATATAAGATCTGGTTCTGGATATACAGAGAATTCCAACCTAGTGCAAGCTATAATTCCACTCAAACTCAAGTGTGAAAATAAATCACATATCACCAGGGCAAAAGAATTCAGGATGAATTGACACCCAGAGAAAAAGGTATATTCCAGCAGTACAATAATAGAAGACCTACCCGACGATTAACACCACAGTCAGGACGCAATTCTGCTGCAGCCGCAGCAAACTCTTTTCCATATTTGGCAGCAAAAAGTTGGCGAATTTGTAGAAGCTCAGGCAAATCAGAACAGCGTGGAGAGGCAAATATCAAACTGGAGATGGCCTCCTTCAAGTCCAAAGGACAAATCCTACGTATACAGCACGCCAGCAATGTGAAAAAAAAAAAAACCAAAACTCATATTTCCTGCCAAACTCATCATCCTGATGAAAGACAGAACTACCACTACAATTAGACTTCTAAGTAGAAATGGCTGGATAGAATAGGTATTAAATTTACTTACTTCTGAGACTCTATTATGGGCAGTCGAACAACCACAAGTTCACAAAATAGTTCGAGTATGTCGTATGCCGCCAAAATGTTTTGTTCTCGAATGATGTGCTCCACCTGTTACAAAAATAAACATTAAATGTTTCAACAAATAGGACCTGGAGATCTCCAGTTGAATTACTATAAACTCGTTCAACCATCACAAAATTTGCACGTCTGTCTGCAAGATTTTTAGAAAAAAGTGTAATAAATCTGTATGAAATTACTGCCTGGTGCCGTTACTTCAAAACACGCCATTGTATAGATCGCACTACTGGTCTGCTTAATTCGTGACATGATGGTCCACGTGCTGACTTCGTAGTTAGTTTTTTACATGACTTGGTTAACACAACATTTCTTGAGCTTATTCCTTTAAAACGATGACAAGCGACAGATCGAAAAAAAAAGGAATACGTACACGAATTCTTGCACTAGGCTCTTGCCCACTAGTAAGCAGCTGAGAAATCTCTCTACGCATCTGCTTGACCTGAGCTTCTCTCTTGTTACGAAGAAGCTTGATGCGTGCCATTGCTAGCCTCAATAACGTCTTACTGCACAATTACATTCAATCAAAAAAATGAATAGTGATTAAAATCACACTAGAAAAACACTAGGATCACATGCGACGACATCGGCGGGAGGTGACTCCAATACAATCCAGATAAGCAACACCGACGTAATCTTAGCAAATAAGAAAGACTTTATGATCGAGAAATACAATGACTGACCCGTTAGCTCCAAAAGAAGTTATATACCACCCACAAATTATGTCTAAAAGGGATAGCAAACTTACCATTTCTGGGCTTTGAAACCCTTTCCAAGCATCGATTCCCACATGATGCTAGTTATGACTTACGAACTTATTCTAGAAGACAACCCTCCGCTGTCCAACAAGCTTATCCAAGCTGTAACTTGCAAAAAAAACGTAAGACCCGTTAAAACCCTAAGAGAAATGATGTTCAGTGTGGTCAGAGAGGAAGAGTTTAATTCATGCTAGAATGCTACAATAAAGAATTAACCATATTCGCGTTTAGTTACTTGGATATCAAGTTTAACACCATGACATTGACAAAATCATTGTTCAACTGCGAGTTGAAATCAGAAGATTGTAATTAGACCTACTACAAAGGCGCCGCAAACGCGAATTGGTACAGTTCGATGCTTGAATGTATAAAAGCAATCTCTTTGGATACTAATATCACATATGAACTGAGCGGATCGGAAGCTCCAACCAGCTAAGCCTTTAAGATGCTGGCCCCAAATATTCTTCTAATACATATCAACGCATTTGGGATGTGGTAAATGAAGGATGGAAATTTCATTATTAGATTTGTAGCTTGAACTGCAAATTGTAGCGCATCCTTTGCATCAACCACCAGATTCCACACTATGAGAAATGAAAGTGAGAGCGAGGGAGAGGGGCAGGTTTGGAAGACACTCTTGGTCAGGTTGATAATAAATGCATTATTGAACTGATCCCTTCTGGTGCAAAAGTTCGCGCGTACAGCAATTAACTAAACAACAGAACCCAAACCAGGTAATCCCACACAAATCGATGACCCCAGCACAATTCACAGCCCAGCACAGAGATCCGAATCAATTCCACATAAGGTATAATCCTCAAGATTTGCAATACAACAATCATAAATCATTACAGAGTATGTTATCAGAAGAGTGCTAGTCCAGCCTCCAAACATAATGAAGTGAAGAGTTATCCTAATTAGAAAAACCAAGACACTTGCACGAGATTCACACTCAAAAGCAACTGATCACTTAGATATTATCAGTCAATCAAAATTCAAACAAGAATCCAGTCCATCATACGACACAAGTGATATTTCCTGCCACTCCCGCTACACGTCACACCTCCGATCAAAACACACAAAAACAAAACACACAAAAACAAAAAACACGAAAACACCAAACCGACGCAATAATTCAAGACGTACAAAAACATTCAACGATCTCCGCAAACGAAGAAAATCGAATTATCCTAGAAATTCATCCCACACCAGGGAACCACTAACCTCAACAGCGCTCTCCTGAGCACCTATTCTTTTTCCAATCCCTTCCGCTACTCCCTTCAAAACCCGAAAAATGCACTAAAAAAACACACTAACTCATCCAGCAAATTGTTGGATGCAGCAGCTCTCAGAATACCTCAAATATCCACACGAAACCCGCGAGATCAAGTACAACCGACCACGGCGAACACAACTTCACGACGTAACCAAGCGAACAAGTGTTTATTGATCAAGAGAACAGGGAAAATCTGTCAACTAGGGTTGCCTACTCTCCTCCTCCTCCTCCCACCGCAACACATTCACTCACTCTCTCACTCTCTCCACCCCTCCTGCGCTGAAGTTTCCTCCCTCTTCCCCCTCGCGTTCCCTTCCTACTCTCCGGTTGATAGACCCTCGAATCCGCCTCCGTATACCCGCCAGTACATGTGCAGCAGGTTTGGCTGATCGAGTCCTGATTCTGAAGCCACGCGGTCAGATTCCTCCCTTTGCCACGCTGTCGGTTACGGGAGTCACCGACCGCGGCTGGCAATTCCGGGGGAACTCGGACGACGGTTCTGGATGGAACCCCCCCTCCCCCCCGCACACTGTGAGATGTAGGTCGTGAGTATATGTTATGTTATTTATTTATTTATTTACTTTTCTTTTGTATTATACGATTTGAGGTTAGTTACTAGAGTTTAACGAAGGTGGTTGTTTGAGTGGTAATTTTAGTCCTACTTTGGATTGGTTGACTTGGGGTGTATGTCAAAGGAGTTTGAAAAGAGAAACTTTATATACCATTCAAAAAGAGATGGCCTTGTTCCAAACTGCCAAGATACGGTTGCCTGGGAAGTGTTGGAAGGGCACAATGAAGCTGCAAAGACACCAGCTCGTATGGGCTGCAAACTTTCGCGGCAGATCTCTGATTCATTGCAACTGAGTATGTTTTAGGTTCAATCCTTTCTGACGAGTGCACTATTGGTGCATCTTCTACTACAATCCTTCCGCTTGCGAAGGATGTGGGTCAGGGTAGAGTAGAATAGCTTTTTAGAGCTAAAATTGTACTTTTAGGATTAGGATTAGGTCACTCGGGTTGGTTTTCTTTCCTTCAGAATGGCTGGAGCACTGTCATATAAGGACTTTGTCAAAGCAAAATTGCCGCATGTCTGGTGGAACCGACACAATCAGATGCCATACGTGACTTATCTAAAAACTACTGAAATGTGGTGGCTGTAGAACTCGAATTGGTCGCAGCTGTAACAAGTATGGAAAAACACACAAAGTTTCACCCCACAATTTTGACGGCAGGAGAAACCCTGCCTGAAGGATGCGCTTGCAGCAGGACAAGGTTTCTCCTTCATTCCACAGTGTGGGCCGTCAAGGTTGATCAGGAGGTCATCAAAAAGAAAAACAGATCATCTCCAAAAACATGCGATTGTGACCTATTTCGGAGGAGGTAAGCAGCCCTCTCATGTGTTATCCAAATGGATTGATTCAATAATGTTACAAATAGGGGCTTCGGTGGTGTTAGGTCGCGATAGTGGTCGTAGATTTTTCCAAGTTCTCGGCTTACGTACGACCACAACCCAAAAGTTCTTGATGCCAACACTCCACAAGTCAAGGTGGGGTACCTGCATTTTACAAATATGGACCCCTGGCTTCAACTCTAGACGCCTTAGAGGTCTCTAAGTCCCAATTTAGATCACATTGCGAAGCATTTCCGAAGAATTCATGAAGGTAACAACTCAGATGACTCTCTCTGTTACAAACAAATCAACAGGGTATGACTTGCAGATTTCGGTGGATTACTGTAAGCTGCCCATTTGGTGTCCATTTTTTCTTAGTACTACGCATCTCATCAAGGACTGCAGAGGCATCCGCTCAACAAAAGGGTCACCAGAGGAAGTTGAAGGAGCAACATCCAAAGACGATTGTGAATTTCCAAACATAAATATGGTTCCCGTGCTCACATCGCCCTCATTATATGCTCCGCATGTTAGTCTCCCCTCTCCTCCATTGTTAGATGGGTACAACCCGATTATCATGGTAGATTCTTTGGGATTGTCATCAACCTGCCTCAAAAGCAAGTCAAGACCTTCCAACCAAGGTACTGATAGATATGGCAACCATTACTCTAATGGCGAATTGCGACTTATGCCAAAGTACAAATGGAATGGCTGGAAGAAGGTCTATCGACGTTAGAAAGCTACACGAGGAGGGCCCTCTATGAGCCAAGAACAAGACTGATTTCCTTGATCACCAACCAACAATGCAAGTGGGGCATGGAAGGCAACGGAGACAAAATGAGGCGCAAGTGATCTATAGCTCCCATCCCCTGACAGGCCAGGATATAAGTCATTATCCCGTCATATAGGCAGTATAGAGGACATGTCAATTGCCTTCTCCTCGAACCTTCATATTAATACAAGTAGGCAATTCACTCCACGGTCTGGAGCCTCTACACTGCAAACACTGGCTAGAGCTGTAGATGGCATTTCAAAACAACTATATTTCCAATTCTATCATTGATTTAATGATATGAATATCCTCGAGACTACTAGGGGCTTCCTCATCCCGCAATCGTGTCGCCTTACAGATCACTACTTGCTTCAACGACAGGACATCACCGCTCTCTCCAGACAATAATGGGACGCGATCCTACAAGGTTATAGAACCCCGCAAAGAAGCTTTGTTGCGAGCCTGAGAATAACCTAGCTCTTCCCTCCCTCAACCTAGATATAATTGTCACAACTATTACACAATCTCTAGAGTCTGAATGATCCAACAAAGGTCGAGTTAGTCCACAACTACTACTGATCGGTGATCTGCAATGTGGATTTTCTACGTTTTCAAGAGCATAGGCTCAAAGGAGATAGGTCATTCGCTCTCAAAGAGACTATTTGGCCCAAAGCCTCCTTTGGTAGAAAAGCTTCTACGGGTTACAGACACAACTGTAACGAAGTAGGTGCTAGAAAAAGGGACGTTTGTACCTGGGTTGCACCTCAAATCCAGCATCTGCTGGTTGACTCATGATACTTCTGATGTGGCGAAGTTGTTTGAGTACGTTCGAGCAATATGCCAAGAGGTGACATTGCGGTGCTTAATCTTTATGCCTCCTCCCTCTCATTGGAACGCATCACAATGTGAGAAAATTAACCTCCGCTCTTTTCCTAGACTACTGGTGGATTGTGAGCAAAGATTGGAACTTTGTGGTGCGTCAGTATGACAAATTATCCTTGTGTGGGCAGTTGATCTCGGAAGAAGAAAAAAGTACATTTTCTAGAGTTTACAGAGGTCTTATAAATTAAGAATAGATTTCCTACTTCTAACTAGTTTAAGCTTTTATAGAATACTTCTAACTAGATTAAGATTTTATAGAATAATTGCCACCAAGACTAAGAGTGCATTCTTGTCCAGCTTGGTAAGATCTATGTATTCAACTTAGTTAGGAGTAGAAAAGGTTGGGTGAAGAAATATATCATATGGGGGAACTAAGCCCAAGCAGATTACCTCTTAATGAGCTGCTCAGTCTAATTAGTTGTCCAACAAAAATGCATCTCATCCTTTAAGATGAATTTGGCATTCCTTTAAGACACTAAAGTTTGGAGTAGGATAATCAAAGGCTAGAGTTTTTTTAGTAAGATTTGCAAAGTTGAAAAGTATTACTAGGGATATTGGATTCAAAAATCTCAAAATGTCTACCACAAAGAAACCTGCTAGCAATTGCAGTCGATAGAAGCCTTGATCGATTTTCATTCTAATCCTATGAACCCAATTTTTCAAGTTAGATTGGAGGCTATGATAGACAATCTTTAGGACCTTGAATACCATAAAGGTGAAGGCTAGAAAGTTCATAGTAGGGTGAAGTGCAAGATGTTTGAGGATGCTAGTACAAAGGAGTTTTTTTAAAGCCACAAAACAACAATCATGTACTTCAACCATTACTTCTCTTGTAAATGAGTCGGGAAAAATTCATTTGGACCAAGCATCCATTAAGACTATCTGCTCTAAATTCTATTTGAGTTTCTATATTATAGCTCTTTTAAAAAGTACAGTAGCAGCCTCCCCTGTCAATGTGCTAGACAACATAATCGATTATTTATCTAAGACCATGAAAGTTGATCTTCAAGCCTTGATTTTGATAAGGAAGCTTAATTGTGAAGTGCAAGATATGACATTTGGAAAAGCCCCAAGTCTAGATAATATAATTATAGAATTCTATAGGATTTCTATTATGAAATAATGGAATAGGCTACCCATTGAAAGCAACCTATTATTTTTCTCAAGCTCAATTTTTCTAAGGCCTATGATATGGTAGACTAGAGCTTCTTTTTCTAATTAATATTGAAATTCGACCTCTTTGGTGAATTTATATCTATGACAAAATTACTATTTATAAATACTTTTGTAAGAATAAAAGTTAATGAGTCTCAATCACCTTCATTTTGTATTGAAAGAGAGATGCATCAAGGGTGCTTTCTACATCTATATTTCTTCATTATAGTAGTAGAAGTCTTGAATTACATAGTAAAAGAAGGCATTGACTTTGGAAGAGTACTAAGAATAATTCTTTCCATTGAAGACAAGAAAAAAATTATAGCTAAATTTGTTGATGATACTTCATTCACCTTGAAAAGAGAAGAAGATTCAATAAGAGAACTTTTTCAAATACTAAACTTTTTTTGTATGAGTTCTAGCCTAATACTTGGTTGATAAAAGTCTTGTAGTTATTAGTAAGATGGAAATCCTAGGTAAGATTGGACAAACTCCCTAAATGTCTTTTGGTTAGATGATGGAGGAATGAGTAAGCTCTTAGGCACTCTTTTTGAGCTTAACATATCATCTTTGGTTATTGATGACTTTTTAGAATTTTAAATTGATAAGAAATTTAACTATTGAAATACACCTACGGTAAATTTTATGGGATGGATAATCATTGTTAAGAAAATCCTCTTCTCTTCTATGTTTTTATTTGCTGCTATTTGAGGTGGTTCTAAGGGAGAAATATCTAAAACACATTTATAAGTCTAAAACTATATGTAATCTAGCACTATCCATCAAGTAAGATCAAAGGTATCTTGGTTATAATGTTGCCAGCTCAAAGAACATAGAAGTATTAACATGACTAATTCAATTGATTCATTGGTTGTTCTTATGATTAAATGGATCTTGAAAGCATGTGAGCCAATATGTCAAATCTTTACATGATCGTGAGATTTAGATTTAGTAGTTTCCAACCATATTCAAGAAGCCATTAGAGCCTAAGCTTAGAATTCTTTATCCTACCACAATGTTAAGCATAACACAAATCTGAGGGGTAGTCTCCAACTTGCTCCATATAGTGCAAAATGGTGAAAAACCTACAACTAATACAACTAAGGCAAGCAAAAGATGTGGTATTTAAATTCCTCTGATAGTCTTCATGGCCCTCAGTAAAAAGGGTTGAGTTTTCAAAGATTCACTCTTCTTAACTTCACAAGGTTGGCCTTTGATGTATTTAAGATGTATTAAGAAAAGGTCACTTCTTCTCCACATAAGAGGTAATGGATATATTTGAACCTAAGCAAACAAAATTAAGAGCATAGAATGCAACGGTCATTGAATTCACCCAATAGTGGGATACTCTAATCTTTGCCCCCTTCATCTTGACTATAAGAAAAAAATATGTCAAATATTATTGTACCTTAAATGATCCTATACTCAGTGAGGTTTGACATGTCAAGGAAGCCTCATTGCTAATAGTATATGGCAATCTCTTTCATGGTATTAAGATCTTTTTTTGAAGCAAATTTTAAGGAAATTGAAGCAATTTAGCCTCTTATGGGTCCAAATTTGCTCTATGGTGTTGTAATCAATTTAATTGGAGCAAAATGATGTGATATTTAATAAAATTAAGTGGCATCCTACAAAGCTAATTCAACACATATTGCTAAGAATACTTATTTATAATAGAGTTAAATGGGTTATTTTTTGTTATGTGCAAAAAAATCAGCTCCTCTATAGTTTCAAAACTTCTACAATATTTCATGCAATATTGGTATTGCTATGGTATCTTTTCCACAATGATAGGTAGCTAGCTTCGATGGATTCTATTGGACCTTAGTACTAGTTTTGTTTACAATCCCTCATAATGCGTTATTCACATTTGTGTACATCCCATCCAATGTTTTCCAATGGGATTCAATACTAGTTCAAGTAAAAGTAATTTTTACTTAGTCCTTATGGTGTCTTAGAAAGTCAATCCAATTTCTACTTAGGCCGCTTACTGTTCAGCTGGGTGTATTTTTACTAATCTTAAGGCATTGAAATTTCTCCATGTTTGTTAAAAAATAAATAAATAAATAAATAAATAAAAGACTTTAAACAAGCCCAAAGAAAGAAAAGTGATGGTTACGGCATCTGAAGTGGGGGAGTTAATAATATAAGAAAACACACCACTTCTTTATGAATCTTCTTGTTATTGCTATTTAAGTTCCCTTTTGACCGATGGTTGAGATGTATGACCCAATGATGCTACTTCTTTAGAGTTACTCTTTGAATCAATACTCAACAATGTTATCATTTTAGAAAATCAAAATATTCATATATATATATATATATATATATATATTAGTTTTAAGTAATAATATAAAATTTAAATTTAAAAAATAATAAATAAAATAATTATATACCAAATTCTATTACTCAAATTATTTACAGATTCAACAAATGCATTCATGTGATTTTTTTAAAAAATAACATATTATAATTGTAAAACAAATAAGACTAAGATATGTGTAAGTCACTAAATTATTACATAATGTTGTAAATGTGTTTTAAATACATTATACATATTGTCAAAAAATTATAGAATATAGCATTTTTTTTTTAAATTATAGTATTTTTTTTCTTTTTTTCTTATCTAAAAAGTTATTATAAATAAATATATAATTTTTTTATAAATATATAATTTTAAAATATTAAAATATGTTATTTAGTACTTTTTTCTTTCATTGCTTTTTTTTCTTTGGTATTTTAAATATTTTAGTAGAGAATAAATCATTCAAATATATGTTGATTTAAAGGTATTAATTCATTAACAAGATTTATTAATTGCAATGAATACAGAATAAAAGAAAATACATTAAAATAAAATTTAAAATTTAAATAGTTTTTTTAGACTAGATGATAGATCTAAAGCTAAATTCATTTTCAAATTGCTTTTCTGAAATCTCAATTGCAAAAGCATTACTCGAAATATAAATAATTTATAATTATAATTTTTTCTTTTTTATTTTAAAATTTTAATTTTATAATTTATTCAGAAAAAATAATTAACTTTTACATGTAAGATGTGACTTCTAAATATTTTTATATTTTTTCTTTTTTCTTTTTCTTTTTTTATGAATGTATTTTCAATATTATTAATATTTTCTAATATATCTTTTTAATTTTAATGTGTAAAAATCTTTTTTCAAAAAATACACCAAATAGACCAAGATATATTTGTGAAGGAAAGGAAATGCACTTAGAGAAAGTCTAGAAG